GGTCCTGCCACCCTTCTGGAAATGTCCCCCACCTGCTGCTCTGTTCTCCTCTCTGCTCATTGGGAGGCAGCTCGGGCCCCATTGTCAGACAGGTTCAATGGCTGCCTCAGGCCTTGGGAAGATCATTCAGCTCAGGAGCCCAGAATCCTCCAGGAAAGTGTACTGAGTCCAGGTGCTGAGGCCACACAGCTGGCCATGGCCTGACCTCCGGTGTCCAGGCCCCAAGAACAGCTCTGTGCTATGTCATTTGCCTCTGTGCCATGAGCCTCAGTTTTCCTGGGAACTCAAGCATTAACTAGATGGCATTTAAGGCCCTTCCAGCTCCCCAGGGCTCCCCAAAGTCCTGTTCTAAGTCAGGCACTATGCCTCCCCCAACCACGCCCCTGCCCCGTACCCCTGGAAAAGCTCATTTTCCATATCTATACAATGGAGTCGGTATTGGCTTCAGCCCTGCCCACCTCCCAGGGTTGGGGAGGTTTTGGGGGACAGCTGAAGCCAGCCCTGGGGCACCCTAGTCAGCATCCGCAGGTGCACAGCCACAGCAGTCCCCCTCCCCCTGGCCTGGGGGCAGAGCTGCCCCTGCAGGTTACCATCAGCTGGGCTGGGTCTGAGGCAAAGGAGTCACCTCTGCCCCTCTACCCGATGTCAGAGGTGCTGGTGGACAGTCGTCTCCTCCGCACCACAGAGAGAAATAAACAATGTGGCCTACAGTTTGAGCTGGTCTCGTGGCAATGACTTTCCTTTTAACCTCAGGGGTTTTGAAGACTTGTCCCATATTTATCAGAAGACCTGGGTCCCATTGTCACAGAATGGAGGCATCTCTGGGAGCTGGGGTCTGTGAGCTGTGATCCTGGCACTTGGTCTGTCCCCCCTCGAGCCCAAACAAGCAGGCATCCATAACCCCATTCTATAGCTGAGGACACAGGAGCTTGAAGAGGTCAAATCAGGTGCCCAAAGCCACTGAGTTCATAAGAGGCGATGCTGGGATTTGAACTCAGTTCCAGCTAACATCAGAGTCCATGTCTCACCACATGGCTCCCCAGGTCCAAACCCAAGTGTTTTCCACCAACCCCTTCTCCTCCTTCCTCCTGCTCCTCATCTCAAAGACTGGGATGCGGCTGCGTTTCTCAACAGCCCACATCTTCATCTAACAAACTCCTGCTCTTCCTTCAAAACCCTATTTTAATGTTGCCCCTTGTGTGAGGTCTTCCCAAAGGCAGGTGGTTGGCTAGCGCCATTCAGCCATCTGCCCACTTTAAGGAAGCTCTGGTCCCCAGGTCGTGTGGGTACAGAGTGACAGTGGGATTCCATACAGCTACAGCTCTCAGAAGCAGTAGACGAGATTGGAGGACTTGGATCCAAGAGTTTTGCCCAATTAAATTTTGTGAGTGTGAAAATGGAGCGTGTTCCACTCCCTCCCAGCTTCAAAGATCTGTTTTGACCCTGGAAAACCCTTCCACGAGGGCTTCTTTTTCTCCTGTTGATGGAGTCTGCTTCCTCTCTTTCTGCTCACTCTGCCAAAATCTCTCTCTCCAGGGCTGCTGTCATTGACCTCAATGTCACCAAGATCAATGGGCTTTTAAAAAGCCTTGTATGAACACTAACAGCTCCATCTACCCCTCAAGTTCACCGGCCCTGGACTCCTCGATGCCCTCCACACTCTTCAGCAGGTCCTTATGGAGCGTCTGCTGGGTGTCCGGGCTGTGGGGACGCTGGGCATGAGCCAAAGTCCTTGCTCTCATGGAGCTTCTGTTGGCCATCTGTCACCACTCCAGCAGCTCCCAAATCTGCCTCCCACCCGAACTTCTGTGAGCCAGCTTCAGCACCTGCTCTCATGTCCCACTGAAAAGGAGCTTTCAGCCTCTGTTCCAATCAAACCACTCTCCCTCCTATGTTCCCTGTGTCCATCGGTGCCCAAGGAGAATCCGAGGGCCGTTCTAGGTCCCCAACCCTCAACCTCCCATATAATCACCCTCACTGATTCTCCTTGCTCTTCTCCACTCGATCCACTCTCTCCAACCTCCTCCCAGCACCTTTGGACCACTGTCACTTATCACCTGTGTTGTGACATCAGCCTGCTGACCTAGCCTATGTCCCCAGCTGTTAGCTGGACCAGGCCATCTCAAGGCTAGGTAACAGCCAGGGAGAATTATCTCAGGACCAGGAACCATAGTGTTACTGCTCTGCCACTTGGGGCTCTCCTTTGCCCCAAGGCTAAAGTCCAGATGTGCCTCAATGTTTACAAAGCCCGCTTTGTAACAGAGACAGACAGAGCCCGCTTAACTCTCTTCTCTCGTCCTCCCGTCCTCCTGCACTTGACACTGAGCCATGCTGAGCCTGGGGAATCCTTCTCCCTGGAGTGCAGTCCCCTGCCTGCCCTCCATTCTCCAGTCTGTCCCACTGAACTCCCAGCTGCCTTCAGATCTCAGTGTAGATGCCACTTCCTCCAGGAAGCCCTCCCTATCCTCACCCTTCCCCCTCCTGTCTAGTGAGGTGGCCTCTGCTGGGCTGTTCCCATACCCCCCAGTCCAGGGTCCTGTCCCCTCTCCACCACAGTTGCCTGACTCCCTGACATCTTTCCCGCTGGACTCTCAGGTTCCTGTTGCTGAGGTAACAAAGGACTACAAACTTAGTGTTTTCAACAACACGTTTATCACCTTACAGTTCTGGGGGTCGGAAGTCTTAAAATCAGGGTATTGACAGGACCACATTCCTGGGGGTAGCTCTAGGGGGAAACCTGTTTCCTTGCTTTCCCAGCCTAAGGGACAGCGGCATCCATTGGCTTGTGACCCTGTCCTCCCTCCTCCAAGCCAGCAACCCTGCCCCTTCCGGTCACTCTCACTGACTCTGCTCCCTCTGCCTCCCTCAGGGAGGGACCCTGTGATCATACGGGGGCCACCGGGTAGGCCAGGATAATCTCACCCTCTCAGTGAATTGCATCTGCCCAGTCTTTCGACTGTGGAAGGCGACAAGACACAGGTTCCAGGGCTAAGACCATGCACATCGCTGGACACCATTATTCTGCCTGTCAGCATCTGAGCTCCTCAGCACCAAGCCAGTCTCTCCTCCACTCCCAGACCTCCACACAGTCCTGTGCTTGGCCCATCCTAAGTGTTCAGGAAAGCGTCTGTGAGTGAGGGAGTCCGTTCATGAGCAAGGGCGCAGGGTGCATGAGTGCGTGCGTGTGCGTGTTATATGCTGTACGGGACTGAGGGGCAGACAAAGCAGAAGCCTCTAACCCAGTGAGAAGCCACGACTTTTGGAAAAATGTTCATCCCACGATTCAGGAACTGAAGGTGTCGGGGGATGAATAGGGCAGAGCACCTGCTGACAGGTGCGCACGCCACGGGAGGTCACAGGGCACGGGCCCGCCTGGAGACCGCGGTGGGCGGGTGTGTGGCCAGGACCAGCGGGCCTCCCAGAGCTGCAGATGGCCCGGCCCCACCACTCTCAGAAGGGCTGCCCAGCCTGGCAGGCCCGAGAGAAGGTGAGTGACCTTGCAGTGGGCGTGACAACGAAGTGAACGGAGGGCAGGTTGCTCTCCACACGGCTGTGTGTGTGACCCGGGGCAGGGATGACTACCGGGTGTGAGGGACCCCTCATGAGGGCGTGGTAACGAGCATACTTACACACAGCACCAGACATAGGCCAGGCACCGCTATAAGCAATTTAATATTCTAACTCATGGAACCCTCTGGCAACTCCCCCCAAGAGGTAAAGTTATCCCCACTTTGCAGAAGGGAAAACCGAGGCCAAGAGGTCAAATAATGCACCGTAGTTCTCATAGCTACAAAGTGATAATATCAAGGTTTGAACTCGGGCCCCCTGGGCCCGGTGTCGGCCCCAAAGCACTCGGCTGTGCTCCCTAAGGGGACGTTGGCAGGCGGCCATGGGGAGCGGCCGCTGGACTCTGCCTCCCAGCCCTGGCCCGGCATAGCGCCATGGAAGGAGAAGCCAGATGGGATAGGACCCTGGGCGGGAGACCCCAGAGCTGCGTCCTCGGGATCTGTGCACCCTGAGAGTGCAGTGGCATACTCAGGGGCAGAGCGAGGACAGGTGTCTGGGCCCCACCCAATTGGCTGATACAGTTTGTGGGCCTGGATCCTGAGTCACACACAACAGCCGTAACCAGAGACTCCTGAGACCATCAGAGACACTTGGACACTGACCCGATATTTGAAGCCTGGGAGGTAGCAGAGGCTGGGCGGAAGTTTCTGGGCCACACAGGGGTAGTTATGCAGAAACACAGTGCACCCTCCCGAGTGTCAGGGCACCCCCCCGGGGGGGGGCACCAAAACTCCTTACGCTTTTTTTGGTTGTGACATATGATCATAGTCTTTTTTTTTTTTTTAAAGATTTTATTTATTTGACAGAGAGAGAAAGCACAAGCAGAGGGAGAGGGAGAAGCAGGCCCCCTGCTGAGCAGGGAGCCCAACTCCAGGCTCCATCCCAGGACCTTGGAAGCCGATGGCAGCAACTTAACCGACTGAGCCACCCAGGCATCCCTGATCATAGTCTTTTTAAAGGGTCCTTATCTTTTAGAAATAAATACGCGAATGTTTACAAACCATGGGATGCCAGGGTATGGCTCCCCGATAGGGGACCCGCAAGGTCCCCTGCACGCCCTTGACCCCTGCAGCTGGGGATGTACGTGGTGTTCACTGGGCCATTCTACTTTTGGAAATGTCTGAAAGGATCCAAAGTTAGAAAGATATTTTAAAAGGCGCAACCCAGGACTCTATGAAGGATTTGCAGTCATCTTCACACCCTCCGTCCCGCACTGGAAACAGACGCAACTGTCAACAGATGTGGTTTGTTAAAGGAAATTTCTAGCTGTAGAGAGAGTGCAAAGAGTTCCACCTGCCTGGCCTTGGGGGGTGGGGAAGATGCCGGCTGCTGGGCGGGGCCAGGAGGGAAAAGATCCAAAGTCTAACGTTAAAGGATGTTCTGATCTTCTGGTGCCCTGTTTGTGGGGCTGACGTCGATCGGGGGAGCAGAGCATGGCCGGAAGCCCCGAGGGGAAGTCCCAGGGCCAGGTGAGTGGTTCCCCCACACCAGGAACACGGAGGGGAATGTCTTTGGTCAGATTCTGTCATAGCAGAGCCCGAGATGAGGATCTTGGGCAACTGGTTTATGAGGGGGTGCTCCGGAAAGAAGAGTGAAAAGCAGGACGGGAGTGGGGGTGAAGCCAGCCGAGGACGGAGGTGGTTTCTGTCAACTGCTAGCTTCAGCCTGATCCTACTGTCAGTCGGGGCTCAGGAGCACATGCTCGGTCCCTCTTTAAGCCGGGGGCTGTCCTTTCATGCCCCATGCCAGTCCATTGACTGCAGGCTGGAGGGGAGGGGCTGTAATTAAGCCCCCCCCCAAGGAGGGAGCAGTTACAGCCCTTAGCACCAAGGATTGCAGTGGCCGGCAACGGGCGCCCCCCCACCCCCAGGGAATAGGAAATGGGGGCACCAAGAGCATCTACCCCATCGAGGAACTCCCCGCCTAGAGCCCTCCTGCTGCCAGCTGGGAGGGGTCACAGCGATGTCCGTTCCAATCTCAGAATTTCACATGCACACGCTTAGGAGGAAGCAGAGTCCCAAAGAGGGGAAAGGAATTGCCCAGGACCACTCAGGGCCAGTACTAGAGTCCAATCCTCCTGACTCTACCCTAGAGCAAGGCCTCTGTTTCCTGCTGGCCCCGGGGGGGGTGGGGTAGGGGGGAGGACCTTCCCCTGTTTTCTAACTGATGGCCACTAAAACCCAGTCCTCTAGGGAGGGCCCCCAACCTCCCACTGGCCCCTTGTCACATGGTGTGACTCAGTAGCTCTCAATTCTGGCCTGTCTCTGCTTGATACACATGCACACACACACATGCACACATGTATACACACATGCATGCACACTGGTGTGTGCACGAATACACACATACACACAGGCGTGCATGCATATACACACATGTACACACATACACACACTCACACACGCACACACACCCTGAGAAGCTGCCCTGTCCTCTAGGCCTCTCCAGCACAGACTGATCAGGGCCTCAGGTTTTCTGTCTGCTCGACCACAACCTCCCATTGTCAGATCTCACTCGCTGCTGCTTGGGTCCCTGTGGTGTTCAGCTCAGACTCCAGGGATGAATCTCAGACCACCCAGTGCACTTGGTACACTCAGTCCTCTCCTGCCCTTGCCACACCTTTCCCCCTTCCCCAGGAGCCCTCAGCTGTCGAACCCCTTCCCCCATGACCACACTTGAGGGCGATGAGGATAGGATGGGTCAAGTCTCTCTCTCTCTCTTTTTTTTTTTTAATTTATTAGAGAGAGAGTGGTAGAGAGAGAGAGAGCATGAGCCAGGGGAGGGACAGAGAAGCAGACTCCCCGCTGAACAGGGAGGGAGCCCAATGTGGAGCTTGATCCCAAGACTCGGGGATCATGACCTGAGCTGAAGGCAGGTACTTAATCAACTGAGCCACCCAGGTGCCCAGGACGGGTCAAGTCTTAAAAGAGAAATGGATGAGGACCAAAGGGAGACTGGTGGCGGGATTCCAGGCATGGGGCAGGCTGATGTTCGCTGAGCATTTGCTGTCCGCCAGGCCCTGCGCACTGCGGACATTATTCCATTTGATCCTTGTAACACTCACCCTCTCCCCTGCACCCGGGAGAGGCACAAGCTCCCCACCCCCCAGGTGACAAGGAGAGAGTGAGATGTCATTAACCTGCCCAAGGTCCAGTCTCCGGGGAACACAACCAGAATCTGAGCCAGCCTTGCCCATACCCCGCGCTCACAATGTGATCCCCTCTGCCAGGATCCAGAGGGGGCTCCCCAGCTCTGTCCCTGCTGGCCCTGCCTTCCAGGGGGCTGAAGGACCAAAGGGAAGCTGGGCCCTGGCTGTGTCCCCTGGGGATGTCAGCCTGGCTAGGCCTGAGGGTCCTGAGCTGGCTGAGGGGTGGGAGAGAGGCCAAGGCTAAGAGTGGAGGGTCCGCCGACCTCTGCCCCACACAGCCCTGCATGGGGGTTGGGGAGGAACGGAGGGCAGGTGGGAGGCAAACAGGGCGTAAGTCTTCTAAGGCCTTGGAGTTCATGCCTCCCTCTGGAGGTGGGAAGCTCAGGGCAGACTGGCTGCCCCTCTGGTTCTCTGAGTCCCTCTCTCCACACCCCTCCTTTCTGGTGGCCTGCCCCAGGAGACAGTTGTTTAAAGTTGGACGTGGCCCCTGAGACCACAGTCTAATCCTTACCCCCACTGTGATCTGCACAGGAGAAAACCAGTGTGAGGTCAAAACACCTCCAGAACCAGAAGTTTGCTAGTTTAAGGCCACTTTGCCCCAAAGTGTTCCCCACAGAACAACTGTAGAATCAACGGCCTTTGAGAAAAAAGCTTCCACAGCCAGTTAAGTTTGGGAAATGCCCTTAAGATTAAAATAAAGTACTCCAGGGGCGCCTGGGTGGCTCAGTGGGTTAAGCCTCTGCCTTCGGCTCAAGTCATGATCTCAGGGTCCTGGGATCGAGCCCCGCATCAGGCTCTCTGCTCAGCAGGGAAACTGCTTCCCCCTCTCTCTCTCTGCCTGCCTCTCTGCCTCCTTGTGATACCTCTCTCACTCTATCTCTCTCTCTCTCTTTCTCTCTCTCTTTGTCAAATAAATAAATAAAATCTTTAAAAATAAAAAAAATAAAAATAAAATAGAGTACCCTCTGCAGGCATTCTCAGGAACCTGACCATGCTAAAGAAGGGGGAAGCCGGAATCCAGGGTTTCCCAAACTTACTTGACCAAAGAACTCTTCTGCTGCAGATCTGTTGGGGCCAGTGTTCCATGGAACACACTTCGAGAAAGCTTACTCCGCATTCTTGAATATGGCTCTCAAGTGGATATTTGAACCCTTCCCCTGTCCCATTCTGGAAAGTGAAATCCCCAGTGCAAGGCACACCTCCAGTGGCCGAGTGCTCACTACCTCCCTGGACAACTTATTCCATCCAAGACCCCTCTGCTAACAAGTCTTTCTTCTTTTGTGCTTCCCGGGGGCCGGCGGGTGGGGGGCACGTGGTCCAGGCTCAGGTCCATGCTCTGTCCTCCCAGGGGCACCAGAGAAGTCTAGCTGTGGCCAGTGACTACTTGGCCAGGCTCTGCCTCCAGCTGCATCCATCAGTCCAGCCGGCTATGTCAGAGGGACCCTGAAGAGTTGGGAATTAAGAGGACAGACTTCCAAGCACAGCCGGGTCAGGTCACAGAAGAGAGAGTCATGCTTCAATGTGTGTCTGCGCTCAGCTGCTGGAGTCCCCCTCCCTCCCCACCAAGTCGGGACTGTCACTACAGACGGGTGGAGACGTTTATCAGAGGGCCCAGCAGCCTGGCCAACCACACACAGTCCCAAATCCCAGCCCCTTTCTGGCTGTGTGACTTTGGTCAAGGCCCTGGACCTCCCTGAGCCTCTACTTCCTCTTCCATAGAATGGAGCCAATTCCCAGGGATTGAGGGAGGTCAGCCTAGCACAGAACCAGTGCTCTCCAGCCATGAGGCCCCATGGGGCCCTTTGGCCCTTGGACTCTGCCCCTTCCTTTCCTCCCTGTCTGGGATTTAACTATCCAGGCTGCCTGTCCCTCCCAGGTTCCCAAAGCTCTTTCCCACGCTACTGTCACCACATCCATGCAGGAAAACTGCAAAATGGGGGTATTCAAATGGGACCTCCTGAATTCATACAGTTGGAATTAGAAGTGAGGGGAATGTTTTTTACCAGAAAGAGTAAGAACGGCCCACTCACTTTGCTCATGATCCCCATCCCTATGGAGAACTGTCTCCTACCTCGATTTCCATGAACCGGCTCCCCGATCCTCCCAAGCCCATCCCACCTCGGTTCTCCTGGGAAAGGTCCACTTTTCTCGATAGGTCACCGGGCAGTCCCCAGGCCCTCTGTGCCTCAGCTCAGTGTAAGAAATAGTGGCCATGCCCCTCAGCAAGTGGGACTTTCAATCCCCAGCAAAGTTTTCCTGCAAGCTCTTTCTCACGCCTGTTAAAACTCCCAGAACATTTCCTTTCACTCACGGAGGCAGCAGTGCCTGGAGGGCGGAAGCCCACACTCTGAAGCAGGTCTGCCAGGTTTGAGTCCCAGCCCAGACATTTCCTGGCTGGGTGACCTTGGGCAAGTAGCTTAACCTCTCTGGGCCTCATTTTTGCAAAATGGAAGCAAGCACAGTATTTACCTCAGAGGTTTGGGAGGAGGATAACATGAGATAATGCAAGTAAAATGCTTGTCCCACTGCCAAGAACAGAGAGAATGCGTATAAACGTTGACTCATTGGTAAATATGGACTTCCTGGATCAATGCCGGCTCATAAGCCACAGAAGTTGCCCAAACCTGGGAGGCACCATCATCACCAGTTAGGGGGTGTTCTGTCTTGCAATGGCTGGGAAGTTCGTCTGACCCTTTTTTCTACGCCAGACAGAACGAGGTCCCCCCAGTGCCACAGAGGCCTCGAGGGGCCCAGAAGCCAGGTTATTCTAGGTCAAATCCAGTTCAGGGGTTACTGGACAGGGCAGCCTGTTCTGGGAGGCCCTGGCTCAGAGAGCAGAGGTGACGGTCACTGAGTCTCACCCAGGCTTGAGCCCGGGGAACGGGTTCTGACCCAGCCTCTTTCCTTCGCCTGCAGCCAATGTCCTTGGTCCCCGCCCTGACAGCAGAAGCCTATGGAGCCGCTGAAGTGATTCCCAGGCCAGAAGTGGGGGAGCTACTGCCATGGCAGGCCCAGGGTCCCACCCAGCCTGGCCAGATGAGCCTGCCCGGCTTCCCGCTGCCCGCCTGGTACCAGCAGCAGACCAGGAAGAGAAACAGCCTTCTCAAGCTGCTGGGCGTGAGTGCCCACTTCCTGGGACCCCCGTGGGGGTAGTGAGTGCCCATTTCCTGGCACCCTGGTGAGGGTAGGCAGGGAGAGGGAGTGCTGGGGAGCCCTGAGGGGAGAGAGGGAGGCCTCCAGGTGCCCTACTTAACACTCCTGCTAGAACTGAAAAAGCCCTGAGGGCTGGGAGGGGCTGTCTACACCCGCACCAGCACTGGCACGGTGTGGCTCAGAGGAAGGCCTCAACAGAAGTCCCTCCCTTTCTCGCCTTTTCCCTCCCCCAAACTGCCCCCACCTATCCCAGCCCCCCACCCCACGACTACAGGGGGAGGGACAATCACTCCATTCTCATGATTCCTATCGCCTTTCCAAGGAGTCAGCCCTTCCTTGCAGACCCACCAGGGTCCCTCGGAAGGGGTGAAGTGGCCCCCGCCCGGCCAGCTGGCGTCGGGCACTGGGGCCCAGTCCCCGACGGTGGCGTCCCATCCCCTTCCCGCCCCCAGGCCTTCCACGTTGTCCTTGCTCTGCTGCACTTGCTCTTCGGGAGCTGCCTGGTCTCCACGGTCAAGGGTCTTCACCTGGTGGTGCTGAAGTCGTGGTATCCATTCTGGGGGGCTGCCTCTGTGAGTCGGTGCCCAAACGTGGGTGGGATGTGGGGGTCAGCAGGCAGGCCCAGGAGACCCTGGCTTTTGTGGCCAGCTGCTGGTGGGTCAGAAGGAGCGACTAGGAGGGAAGCCCCTTTCTCCAGTCCCCTGCCTCTGCTTCTGTGTCCTCAGTGCTGCCCAGGAGACCCCTTCAGATTTGCATCCCAGGGGAGCACTCCTGGGCTCTCTGCCCAACCCCCTAATCCAGCAGGTGCCTCCAGCAGATGGAGGGCGAGCATAGGGGTGGAGGGGGATGGCCAGGCTGCCTGAAGATCCAGCAACCTGTCCCTGGTGCCTGAGGCTCTGTCAGGCTGAGTCTGGGGGAACACAAGCCTATGATGGGTGCCTCCTGTCCTCCCAAGGCCACCATCCAGGAGGGGAGATGAGGGGAGACCAGAGCACACGCTGTTTCCCGAAGGCACCCAAGGCATCCTCCCCAACCCTGGGTCCCCCCTCCGGAATCCTGCATACACACGGAGACCCAGCTCCCACGGCGCCCTCTTGGGCAGGTGTCCTGATCGCCCCCCAGCCCCCCAACTGGCCCCAGCTCCGGGTTTTCAGTGCTCAGTCATGGGACTGTCCCCACGTGCAGCGTCGTTCATCCTGTGGTCCCCAGGACTGGCACACAGCAGCCACTCAGCTGACGGTTGAAGGATCATTGCAGAAATACATCAGGGACCTCATAATGAAGAGACGATACGCTCCAGACTGCAGGATTCGGGAATGGACAAAGGGTCGGAGTGGAGGAGATAGTTAGCTGATCCAGAGGGAGGTCTGGGCCACACAATGGGGGATGAGGGCGGGGCCAGGAGGGCCAGTGTGGGGCTTTGTGCGCCCAGAGAAGACCAGCGGAGCCAGAACAGGCCTGGGAGGAGCCGTGTGCTGGGCAGGGGATCTCCTTCGTCAGAGGAGTGGTTCTCCACCACCGGCCAGCTGCTGAGCATCTGGTCTTCTTGGAGAGTAGCCAGAAAAAAGCAAACATGTGGGTTTCAAGGAACCCCGACCTCTCTTATGACTGTTGTAAATCTGGCCAGCAGTTCCTCATTTCGGGCATCTTGGTGATCATGACGGAGCTGTTTTGGAAGACTTACCTGGTAAGCTGGAGCACTCCCTCCTGTCCCAAGCCGGGGTCAGGTTTGGGAAAGGCCTCTGTGTGTGCGTGCTGGAGATTCGGCCTGTGATCTCCAGGGGCTGCTAAGCTGTGTGGGCGGCAGGTGTCCGAACGTCTCTCTAGCTCAGGTGGGCTGGAGTGGCCTGGGGTAGCCCCGGAGTGGCCCGGAGTAGACAACAACACCAACAACACCAACAACACCAGACTGGCCAGACAGACATTGGCAATGGAAGGACCATCCCTACCCCTCCTACTTCATGGTCTCAGACCACCCTCTGCCCCAGAAGGCCTGGCCTGGTCCAGGTTTGGGCCCCTCAACTGGGCTGGGCTGTGGCTGTCCCTGGCCCTCTCAGGAGGCCTAGACCACAGGATGGCATTGTGCCATCCACCCAGCAGAGGCAGGAGACACATGGGAAAGACCTGCGCATCTCTCCCCGGCTGAGCCCCTTTCTAAACCAGAAGCCTCTCCCTTCCTCTGCCTGATCGTAGGGAGACCCTGGTGCAGAGAGGTCCGCTCTGCTAAAATAAGCCGGAGATGCCATGTGTTCTCTTTCCCCAATTCAGGGGTTCCCTCTTGGTAACAGGCTCTTGGAATAATGCTTAACCCAAGGTGGTGATGAATGGAGGCCTTTCAGGGAGACCCTGGAGGGTGGGGGAGGAGGCAGAGTGTGCGAGGACAGTGCCCCTTCAGCACTCCTCCTGCTCTTTCCTGTAGGGAAGGGGACGGCTGAGGGGCCATTTGGGGGTCTGGTCCCTGACCAGGCGACATATTTAATGCCAGGATGATTAGGACTGGCTCTGAGAAGGAGACGGTGGTGGGAACATCCTTCTTTAGTACCAAGTCTGTGGGTCGGGAGGCAGCCCTTGGGTTCCCCCAGTCCTGTCCCAGAGAAGGTGGAAGCCGCTTGGGCCCCACAGCCCGGGTTGTCAGCTAGCTCAGAAAGTCATGTTCGCATGAGGACCCTCAGGCCCAGGGATAGGCGGAGTCTTTCTGTGATCACAGAGCAAGCACCTGGCAGGCCTAGACACAGGACCCAGGTCTGGGTCCCTAACGTCTGGACAACGGTCGTGACTGTTACTTTTGCCTGTAGAGGAGGCTTTGCCTGATAGCACATGCCATCAGCTGCTTCTGCGTGCTAGCTGGCCTCTTTGTCATCGCCAAAGATCTCTTCCTGGAGAGTCCCTTTGACTTCCCGATCTGGACACCGTATCCCAGCAGCACAGTGAGTATCCGGCCCCAAGGGTCCTCTCACTCCTGGGAAGGCGCTGCCTTGACTTGGCCTAACAGAGGTTTCTGGCTCTCAGGAAACCTCCCAGAGCCCAGGCACAGGTGCTGGGGCCCGTAGGCAATCCGTTCCCAACCCCTTTCTCCTGAGGCACAGGACATAAAGAGATGCTGTCTTCTCCTGGTCAGTGTTAGGGAGCTGGGTGAGGCCATGAGTCACTGAGTCCAGTCCCACTTTGATGGTTAGGGAAACTGAGGACCAGAGAGGAAGAAGGGTCTGTTTGAGGTTGAGTCTCATAGCAGCCTTGCAGACCGGGCCAAGTCTACTTTGTTACCCCCATTTTAGGAGAGTGAATACTGACGTCCAGAGAGACGACATTAGCAGACCAGGGCCACACAGCAAGTCAAGGGTGCAGGGAAGACTCAAAGCCGGGCCTATGACTCCGAGCCTGGTGCTTTCTCAGCACAACCCAGCACCCCTAAAGCAGAAGGCAGGCTGGACACTCCGCGTGGCGGCTGCGGGTCAGGTTTCTGACCGTAGTGCTGGGCTCCTCCTTACAGCCTCCACCATGCACACACATGTGTGGGCACACAGGCAGGCCTACTCACACACACACACACACACACACACACACACACACGCTCCCCCACAAATGCTCATGCCATGTGAGATGTCCCCACTGCATGGTGGCCCTAAGCCCAGCTCCTCCCCAGCTATAAACAATGCCCCTTCTCTCTGACCCTCAGTGTCCCCATCTAAGTGGGGCTGGCTGAGATGCCCCCTAAGGCCACCTGCAGTTCCACCAGAGCTGCTCGGAGATCCTCCAGCCCTCCAACGGTCACTGTGGAACCAGGGGTGCCAGACAGTGGGCTGTAGGGCAGCAAATGAGAAGGACCCTGTCCCAGCCCTGCCAGAGTCACATGCTGCCCCCCCCACCATGGGCACACCTGCAGCTGAGACCCCCACTGCCCCCTGCTGGCTGGGTCTGACCCCTGCTGAGCCCACCTAAGGGGTACAAATACCCAGCGAGGCCCTGCCCTGACTCCCTCTCCCCCTCCCCCTCCAGCTCCACATCCAGAGGCTGGAGCTGGCCCTGCTCTGCTTCACGGTCCTGGAGTTCTTCCTGCTGGGCTCCACGGCTGTCACCGTGTGCCGCCTTAACTGCCCGCCTGCAGAGGTGAGGCCTTCCTGGGGCCGCCAGCCCCAGAGAGATGGGTGGGGCACGGGGAAGGGGAGGCGGCAGGCAGGGGCACAGGAGGAGCGAGTTTGAGTCCCTCCTCCTTTGTCGGGTGGCTGAGCATTTACTCAGTGGGGCCCCCAGACAGCGGCGGTTCTGCAGGGGAGACAAGGCCCAAGGGCGGGAAGGGCGATTCAAGGTGGTCATTCCAGGAGAGAAGGCCCCAGGCGCTCAGAACAGCAGCCCCTGCTCTCCAGCCAGAGGCCCCCGGGAGCTCTCTCAGGAGGCCGGGAAGGATGCCCGCCTCAGTCAGGATGGGAAAAGGGATTCCAGCAGAGGCAAAGTCATGGGCAATGGCTCGGGGACCAGACAGGGAAAGCCAAGAGAGCTGTAGCGTGTTGTGGGGTTTGGCAGTGGAGGGAGCAAGTGAGGTGTGTCATGAGGGACCGAGTATTCCAGGGTTATGGGGCATACCTGCTACTGAGCACTTTAGAAAAATAGAACTTGAGAAAACAACCACCACCACCTCCCCCACCCCATAACTTGATTTGGCTTAATTTTCTTAACAGCCTTTCAACATGGATACTTACTTCCCCATCCTACAGATAAGTAAAATGAGGCATAGACAGGTCCCATCCATTCCCAAGGCTAGTCAGCCCATAAGGAAATCCAAGACTCAGTCCGAGGTGTGCCTAACCGATGGCTAGGCCTGACCGCCCGTGGGGCTGGCAGAATGGCAGGCTGGGGCCAGGTACGTTTTGGAGCAGACTGGCCTCTCCCCACGCCAGTGACCCTGACCAGACGTGATTTTCTAGGCTCACTTCTATAAATGAGGAAAGTTCCTATTAGAACCTGAACTTGAGAGCACTGTGAAAACAGGCTCCAAACGCCCCGTGACCCTGTGAGCTTGAATCTCCTATTGGTTTCCATGGGTGCCGTCCATCCATGGAGATTCCACGGCCCCTATGGGAGCTGTGGGCCTGAGCTGGTTGTCCCAGTCAGGGCCCTGCTGTCTGGCCAGAAATCTCGTTAAGAGGTCGGAGAGCTGGGAGAGGCCTTGAGTCCCTGAGGCCAAGCCCTCAGGATGGCTCGGGATGGGGAGACCGAGGCCCCCTCTCTGTTGCAGGAATTAACAAGGACCGTTCCCACTGACTGGCATCTGCTGTGGGCCGGGCACCACTGGGGGCGGCTGTCGTGGCTTCCCATTGCCGTGGCAACAAATTATCACCAATTTGGTAGCTTAAAAAGACACAGCTGTGAGGTCTTATGGTTCTGGACGTCAGCAGTTTGAAGGGGTCTTGCTGGACCGTGGCCAAGGCCCCGGCCCAGCCCCATCAGGAAGCCGATGGAGGACTTGGGGGGCAGTGTGCCCAAGGTCTTCTGTACACTGGTTGCAGGCCCGGAACAAGGGTCGGTCCACTGGCTCCCTGTGGGGCTCTCCCTTCTCCCTCCTCAGGGACAGGCAGATGGAGAGAGGCCCACAGGGTCCTTCTGAGAGCCCCTCCCTGAGCTCCCGGCTCCCCATCTCCATGGGAACCTTGAGATGGCAAGGGAGCCAGTGCTTCAGTGCTTTGTAAATGGCCACTCACAGTGCGAATGTGAGCAGCTGGGACGGTGGCTCCTTTTTTGCAGGAAGACGACTTGATCCTTATTCAGGACACACCAGTGAGAATCACGAAGTGGTCCATGGGTCCTCCGCCATCCTATGAGGATGCGATTCTAGGTGGCATGTAAGATGGGCAAATGCAGAGGGATGGATGCCCTGGGCTCCCCCCAACTCTCAGAGTTCACTCCCTGGTCCCTTCGTCCTGCTCAGACATGGACCGTTTCCGAGGGGGCAGTTGTCCAAAAGGGGCAAATGGTGCCATTGCTAGAATGGTCTGCCCCGTGCTGGTAACTGAGGTGGGGACAGTCCCCATCCCCTCAGGCACAGGAGGGACCCCCCCACCCCAGGCCCCGAGCACCCCGTAACACTTCAACACCTGACTGACCGGCCCAGAGCACAAGGTCCTGCGCACCCAGGAACAGACCCCGGGCCCCTCTCCACACCCTCTCCTCTCCCGGTCTGCTTTCTCCAGTCACTGGCAGGACACACAGGAAGCATGTCTCTGTGGCGCTGTGGGGCAAGTCTGGGGGGCATCTGTGTCCGAATCCCTGGATTCTGGATTGAGTCCAAGGGAAACTGGGACCAGCTCTTCCAGCAAACTGTAAATGCATCTCCTTGCCTCCCTGGGCCTCAGTATCTCCATCTGTACCATGAAGAGGGTGGGTGGCTGAAGCCATCGGGCCCCATCCCCCGCTGGAAAGCTCTGAGATAGAAGTCAAGTTCAGGATTCCCATTGTGAACCTGCAGGCTCAGTGTCCAAACCGGCGTCCACACCAGCTCCCTCGAGGAAGTCAAGTGACGGAGAGCCGCCTTTCCCCCCTTCCAGAATGTAGTGGTCTCAGGACAGTCTGCGGTTTCTGTTATTTGTGGACTGTGCTCCCTTCCTCTTGTGTTTCCATAAATGGATTCTTTTTCACAATGTATCATTTTGGAGGGTGCGTTGCATCTACAATAAACAGGAAGCCAGCAAGTTTCCATAAAAAGAAGCTGAGCACAAAAAAATAATGTAAACACAGTAGAAACAAGACTAACTTGCCACCTGCTCCTGTGATGTCAGCTCTAGCTCTCCACCTCTCGCTCAGCCGCTGCAGACGCCCTGGCATCCTTGAGGTTCCACGGACGCGGCAAGCACACCCCTGCCGCTGAGCCACCCCCGTGCCCTTCCACTGCCTGGACTCTCTTCCCTGGGGCTATGGCAGTGCTCGCTCTGTGAATCTGTGTTGGGCTACTGACTCTGGGCTGAGGCTGGTCCCATCCACCTGTGATGTAGTTCTGCTACTATCCCCATTTCACACAGTCTCAGAGAAGTCAAGCAACCTTCCCCAAGGCACCCAGCTGGTGAGTGGCAGAGCCAGGATTTGGACCTGAGCACTCTGGCTCCAAATGGAAGTGCTGGCCTCCCGACAGCACTAATAGGTTTATAGGAGGGGCCCTGCTCTATGCTGTCCCCGGTCAGATGAGACTCGCCCATCTGAGAGCTAGCACACGGTGTACATGGCAGAGTCAGCCCTCAAAGCTCACGGGCACCCCGTCCTCCCAGACAGGCTGTTTACTGTGTGGTAGCCCAGGTTCAAGGCTGTACAGGCTAGCCGCCCTCAACAACCCCTATGTGTAGAGATCCCCTCCCAATCAAGGGCACTCTGAATATTCCCAGGGTTCAACATCTATTGTTACCTCCCTTGTTTTATTTCTGGCTGTCACCTCTGGTTTCGGTCACTGGCTAGTCCATCTCTTTTCTCCATGTTCTGGTCGGCCCGTTCTGCAGGCTGTGGCCAGCTGGCTTTGGAGAAGAATGCAAGGTAGAAGCTGCTGGGCTCAGAGGGAACCTCAGGGAACTGAGAGCCATGCACATGTTTAGGACAAGGGACATGAAGGAAAGAACTTCGGCTTGGCTGTCTGGAGACCCAGATGCAAATTCCAGCTTGGTTGTCACTTACTCGGTGACCTTGACTCAGCCCCATGTCTCACTGGGTCTCAGTTTTCTCATCTGTAAAACAGGACGTTATACTAGGTTGGTGGTTGGTTGAATAATCAACCAATGAAAGAGATAGTACAGTGATTAAACAAGCATCAAGTTTGCACGCTTGCTTCCTCTTTCTCCATCCAAACCCCTCATGTGCACACGCATAAGTACATGTACATCCGTATAGACACTTTTTTGTTGAACCATCTGAAAGTAAGTTGCAGGTGGCTGGGGGCTGGACATTGGGGAAAATATGTGCTATGGTGAGTGCTGTGAATTGTGTATCCCTTATGATTCACAGACTGTACCTCTGGGGCAAATAATACATTATATGTTAATAATAAGAAGAAGAAGAAGGAGAAGAAAGTAAGTTGCAGATACCATGACCCTTCATCCCCTTATTCTTCCACCTGCCTTTTTTCCCCAAGAATATGGGCATTCTACATACGCACAAAGGTATTATTGCATGAAGAAAATTTAAAATAATTCCATAATACTAATATGGTGTCCATGTTCAGATTTCCACCATGGGACCAAAAATGCCCTTTACTGTGCTTTAGGTTTAACCTGGATCCAATCAAGTTTCATGCATTATATTTGATGTCACGTCACTTCATTTTCTTTTAATCTAGAACAGTCCTCCCGACTTGCTCTCATGAAAAGAACAGTTGTCTTGGAATGTCTGCTTGTTTTGGTGCTCTTCACTTGCCCTCCATCCTCCTCTTTCTTGTCACCTGGCTGTGACCCTGAGGCTTGGTTTGATGCAGGGTGAACGCTGGGGAGAACTTCCCAGTGGTGGTGCTGGGGCCTTCTCACTGTGTCCCATCTCGGACCCCGGGGCCCGCCTGTCCCTCGGGTAGTGATCCCGGGCATGGCGGTTACTGTCACAGCTTGCCACTGCTTCATCAGTCTTTGTACCTGCCTTTTCCTACAGTTGGTTTTTTGTTTTTTGTTTTTTGTTTTTTTTAAGAAGACAAAACAGGAGCTCCTGGGTGGCTCAGTCAAGTGTCCAACTCCTGATTTCGGGTCAGTTCATGATCTCGGGGTTGTGGGATCGAGCCCTGCATCAGGCCCCACGCTCTGCACGGAGTCTGCTTGTCCCTCTGCTCGCTCGCGGGTTCTCGCTCTCAAATAAATAAATAAAATCTTTTTTAAAAAGAAAAGAAAACGGTTCACATTACTTATTAAACAGGGAAATGTCAAAATTGGCTTTTCTGTAACAGAAAACAGATGTAACAGCTGAACGTATAGTGTATAAATCTTCAGTATAGTAAACACGAATTTGATACACTATACTGAAGACAATGATGTAAGCTCAATTTTTTTTTAACTTAATGTTTCTTCTTTGTCGTACACCACACACAAATGAAGAGTAACAGGAATCATTGCCCAGGTTCATGCGGTTACCAAGCCTGTAAAGGGACTTATGAGCTTAGGGGCTGGGGGTTGCTGCCTCGATGGCCCTTGGGCTCCCGGTGAGCTCCAGCATGCATGGCTTCTGCGACCATGAGCCGGCAGGAGGTAGGGGTCAGGGCCTTTCCGTCCCCAGTGAGGACACCACTGACTACCCCAAGCCCAGGGAGGGACCAGTTTTGTGAGCGGTGGGCTCCCGAGAAATGAGCACACCCGGAGGGTCCTGGTCAGGGTTGGAGGGGAGGGTAATGCTCGGGGGACGGGAAGGTCTCTGGACTAAGACTATCCTGCACCTCTGACTCATTGTGGAAACGAGCCTCCATTTCCCATCTGCAGAATGAGAATGGTTGTTCCTCCCTCACAGAGTGGTCATAAGAGTCAGAGAAGACCTCGGATGTGAAAGTACAGACTCCGTGTTCCCCTGAAGTATAGACATGGGGAGGGGAACAGTGTAGGGTTTGAGAACGTGGTGACACGTGATATCAGCTTGCGTGTGGAGGGAGGTAATTCCTCTTCAAGCTTCATGGATCTCTTGGGTTTCTTTAAGGAGAAAGTCTCCATTTGGGACTGTCCTGTCTTTAACACCTCTCTGATGCAAGGTGACGTCTCTCCCCCAGAGACAACTGCCTCTGCGGCAGGTACGACATCAAGCAGAACTTCCCCAGGCCGTTCCTTGTCCTGGGTCTGCTGTTATGGCTGTCTTCTCCTCACAACAAGTGACACTGGCTTCCCAATTACAGCAAGTGACACAGTGAGCTCTTAGAAGACATGTGTGTGAGTTAAAAACAAAGGAATGAGGGACCCAGGTTTTTTGCAAGTGGAGATGAAAATGCTCTAAACTCGTAGTGATCCTCTCACAACTCTGTACGTGTGCTAAAAATCATTGAATTAAAGAAAAAAAAAACTTTTTATAAAGGAGGTCCATGTTCTTCCTCCCTCGAACACCCCACAGTGACTCCCTGTGCTCAAGCAGGTCGTGGAGGCGTGAGAGCATTGTGCTCGTCCTTCCTCCCTTCCTCCCTTCCTTCCGCAGGTGACAATGGACCCGCACTGTGCTGTGTCCGAAGCAGACCCCCATGTGCCAGAGCACAGCCGCCAGCCTCCCGGACACCGGGATCCAATGGGTGAGACAGGCACTAAGGGTCACACCAATAAATGTGTAACTGGGGCAAGTGCAGTGAGGACAGAAGGGAACCAGATCCTGAATGGGTGGGGAGGCAGAGAAGGAGTCAGTCCCTCCTCTGGAAGGTCGTCTTAGTGGAGGCCTGAAGGCTGCCCAGCACGGAACTGAGGAAGGGCATGTGGAGGCCTGAGTACAGCTCTCCCCAGGCCACCGCCGCTGCACGCTCAGCTTAGCTGTCCCCGCCCTACCCCCACAGCCACCCCCTCCTCCCTCCCTCCCCACTGCCTTCCTGGCACTCCTGCTGCCTCGCACGTAGTCTGTAGCAAATGGCCCACTACGTGCCAGGCCCCTGCGGGAGCTGGATGCTATGATCTGTCGTCGGCACTCAGCCAGAGAGTCAGAACGTGGGAGACACACAGGAGACTAATGGCAAGGAATTGGCTTTGGTGGTTACCGGGGCTGGGCAGGCAAGCACACAGTTGGGGGAGCAGACTGCCAGGGTAGACCACGCTGGGGCTCCGGGGCACCGTTTGCAGCTGCCATCCACGGCTGGAGCTTCTCCCCCATGAGGGAAGCTTCCCTTCTGTGCTTCAAGCCTTGCACTGACTGCTTTGGGCCCACCCAGACCATCTGGGACCCTCTCCCTTACTTACACACGTACTATGGGTGCAATCCCATCTACGAAACCCCTCCCCAGCAACATCTGGATTGGTGTCTGAGTAACTGGGAACTTGCAACGGAGGTGAACAGGCCCTCCTGCGGCTGGCTGTGGCCAGTGAAAGTAAACATGGGACCGCACAGTGACCCCGGGCCCCCCTGGGCAGGTGTCCTGGGAACAGGGGGGTGAGGCAGTCAGGGAGGTGCTGCAGGAGGTCAGTCTGTCTGTCTGTCTGCACTGGGCCTCAGAGGGAGGAACGGTGCTTCTGGTTGCAGGAACAGCCTGGGCGAAAGCCTGGGACGAGGGAAACAGGAAGCAGTTATGAAATTACAAATGGAATTTCCAGACACAGGAAGCCTCCACACACGGGTCAGCATCCACAGTCAGCAGGTAAGATAAAAATCATTGCTACAGACTGAAAGTCTGTGTCCCCTCCCCCTCCTTCCAGCCACACACGCCAAGATTCCTATGTTAAAACCTTGATCCTCAGTGTGGGGGTGTTAGGAGGTGGGGCCTTTGGAAGGAAATTAAGCCCCAAGGGTAGGGTCCTCAGGAGTGGGATTGGCACCCTTGAAAGAGGCAGGGGAGCGCTCCCTCCTGTCTCCACTGCCTGCCACAATAAGATTCGATGAGAAGCAGCCA